AATATCGGATACCTGATATTTGTTAATGGAAACAGCGAAGATTTTGGTTTCTCATCTACTTTGTACTTTTACGACTCGATCCTTATGAAGTGAAAATTCGCGTTAGAAGTTTGTGTATCAGGCCTAAAGGAGCGATAGGTACGAAAACACGTTATAGGTGTCAAACGCAGCAAGATAACTGTGCCAGATAATATTATATATAATATCAAGATGTCGGGTTTTACATACCATGAATTTTTACTAGGTTGTTGAGAAACGCAGCGGCAGAACTTCACTTTAATTTTCACGAGGATATGTTAACCTCAGTCTAACCAACGGAAAGAAGTGGTGTTTTTTTCATTCATCTCCGATGAGACTTTTGGGCAATGAGTGAGAATCTTATCCGTGACTTTGCGCACAGCAGCTCAAAACCATGCTGCCGCCAATGCTGTACCTCGTATTGCACATGCCACGATGGAAATAGAGTAAGTTTACAGCCATGCCATGCAAATATTTCTCAAAGAGCCAGTAATCGTGTACATTCAAAAGGTTCGCTTTCAAAAAAGATCAGATTTTTTTATGGCTATCATCTACGTGGGTGAAGCCCACTGCATGTTAGTCGCGTCTCTCAGTACTCTAAACAGTTTCTCCGTCCATCCAACTGCGATGAGCAAATTTCCACACTATGGGCAGTAACCCTTCAGTGACCCCCTTCTTTCAAAAGCTGTAACTTTAGAACATAGCAATATAGAAATTTCTGTCGAAAGAATGCAGACAAGCAGCTCTGCTATGCACAAAGATGCCACCAGAGGAACTTTCTTGCCAACCAGCACCTGTTTCGAGAGAGGGTGTAGGGGGCGGGGTGCCCGCAGTGACGTCACACTGTTTACAAAAAGGGAGAGGTCTATTCCTTTGGACTGCCCTGAACTGAATGGACATGCAGTCTGTCAGTTTACAGTGATCTGCACGGTGGCTCTCCTGTAAGGTTTGTTTTTCAACCAAAAACTCTCGTTCACAGACTGCTTTTCTTTCTCATTTTGAGCCCGCGAGTACAACAAAATGTCACCTCTCCAAATTCTAGCGAAGGCACGCGAGTACAACAAGATCCCAAAAAGGGGAATGGCAAAAATGAAATGAGCGAGAAAAGCAGTCTGTGAACGAGACTTTTGAAAAACTAACCTTGCAGAAAAGCTGCCTTGCAGATTATTGCAAATTGTCCATTGTTTTCTCCTGCAGAGAATTTTAGGAAGACCAGGGCTTAAAACGCGAGCACAGAGACGCTCTGATACAGCTCTCAGAAGCTCCCATCAAGCTTCCATGATGCTACCATCAACATATAGTATTACGCTACCTTTAGTGTGTAAATAGTTTATATAAACGTTCCTCTTATCAGCCCCGGCTACTCTACTCGACTTCTACCCGAGACTTGGCTAGCTCCTTCGAATGCATCACGAGCAAGCGAAAGGGCACGGAGTTGTAGAGGCGAAAATGTGCAACATCACATCGCTTTTATTACGTGACATATTCGTTCTCCGCTGCATTCCCCCGCTCGCCTCCGCAGATAACGTTCCAGTTTTTATAGCGAAGACACACCGTTGATTGCGGTCACGTCATTGAATATCAATTAAACAGCGGTTGCATTATTTATTTGCAAATTACTTCACCATAAAGTATGGTGAAGTAATTTATTACTTGGCCACCCGAGGAGCTTTCTAACTTTACTTACTGTTTATCAAGACCTGAATATAATGTTAAGATTTATTTTGTTGATTCTGAGCATTACCTTCGCAACAGAAGTACATCACCACTGCCCGCAACAATTATTATTCATCTTTCCCAGTGCCTGTAGGTCCGTTGAAGTTACGTGATGAAAATATGTTTGCTGGACTACGTCATATATGACATGCCGCTTAAGTGTCTGTCTCCGCATTATTGACGAATCCAGCCGTCTCTTGTAAACTTTCTGCTGGCAAGTTTTTAAAATTTTATTTTGTTATTTTTAAAACTGGTGGCCTCAGACAAGCTTAATACGACTCTGCTCACCACTGGATAGTGTTGTTACGCGCGGCGCCTGGGCTGACGGGGGAGAGAGGCGTTCTTTGTTCATCAAACAAGTCACCAAAGGGCTGCCAGCCTGCTGTCCACCGTGTTTTGTCCATCTTAGCCGGGAAGTGAGGTGGCATTCCGACACCATAAGACGTTCGACGAGACGACCACAATGGTTTCTTGGCGTCACAGGTCCAATGTGGTGACCACGCCCCAATCAAAGACGTTGACTTGAGCGAGTGTGAGCGGCACCGTCAGAAATGGTGTGTGTGTCCCGTGATTCAACAGCACATTCTGGACCCATTACCTGATTTAGTCAAAACGCACACTTTATAATGAGCCACCCAGCTCATTCGCAAGAGATCTCTCACCCTGTCTATACAGAACGTAATAAATCCTCTGTTAAGTTTGCCATCCTACTCCTGAGTGCACATGCGTTTTCTTTTCTGTCTCTCTACACCCCCTTTCTTGCCCCTATTTCTCCACCCCCAGTGCTGGGCAGCAAACCGGATGCCAAGATCTGGTTGATCCCCCAGCCTTCCTTTCTCTCTCTTGCCATCTTACTGCCTTGGCATCTTCATCCCGGATATCTGATACCTGAAAAGGCCGGTACCAACGGAGGTTAAAGAATAAAACAGATGGTGAATATTTTCTGCAGCATGTTGAGACGCTGCATATGAGTGGTCATCCTCGAAAATCATCAACTTTAACACCACAGACAGGTGATGATATACCCTGAGTAGGTTCGAGCATGTATTATGCCTCGCCGCTTTTAATCTCCATTAAACTTCTCCCTTTCGATTTCATCCTTCGGGGCTTTGTGTAGTCCTTCACCTAACGCACTGCATTCGTGCTGCACTGCTACTACTTCATTTCTTCTGTATATACGCCCTGTTTCGGGCACGATCACAGGCTGCCATCTTGGACTGATAATGACGCCGTTTTGCATCCATATAAACATTCGAATAGTGCTACGGTGAACTCGCATGCATCAACACGCTGGGCCAGTACATTCAACGTCGTATGACCATAATCATTGCTAATTACGACATATAAAACCAGCAAAAATTGCTTTTAAGCCTAAGATGGCAGCGTCTATGCTTTACTGTAACTGTTACATTTATTTTTTGTCAATTTGTCCAATATGTCATTTCATGCAGCGGCCGCAGAACTTGTGCAGCTGTTCATAGTGGTACTCTCGGTCTCTGAAGCTGGATGAAAATAACTAAGAAGCCTGGTTTATACTGGCTACATAAAATGTGAAACGAAGCTATATATTAAGATGAAAAAGAAAAAGACAAATCTGTGAAAAGTCAGTATTGGCGCATAAATGGCGCGCCGATTGCGCCGATGAAAATCATCGGCGGCGGCGGCGGCGGCGCGCCGACCAGTCGGCGCACACCTCTACTAGGGTGGCTTACCCTACCTCTACTTAGGTGCCAGAGCGGCGCCCCCTGGCATCCTCACATATCATTCCGAAACCGAAACTGAAAACCCAAAACACAACAGCGGTCTCATTTTGAAGAACGTAAAACACCAGGGACTCATGTACTGGGTCAGTGCAGGCAAAAAAAAAAAAAACTGATTGTCAAAATTGCCGCAGTGATGCATTGAAGCGTGGTTTTAGAACGTAAAAGCCCCAGATAATAATTAACACTAACAATGAAAGCATATAAACGACACCACCGATATAGATTTAGAATCACCTCTGTGGTATCGGGCGTTGGGATTTGTTTTCAACATAAAAGAGTCAGCGTCTGCCTCTAGCGCATAACTCATGCGCAACCGTCAGCTTACATGAAATATGTGCTCCCTGCATGCATTCAGGCAAAATTAACTCTAAAAGATGTCAAAACATCATTAAGAACAAAAGCTCGCTAGCTTGCACTTGTTTCCGGGCGTATCAGGGCACCACACGCGGGTTGCGTGGCACGCTTCGCATACCGTCGAGTAATGGCAGCGGTCGTAGCCAAGGAGGATTTACAGAAATCGCTGGAGTGTAAATGACTGTCGAGGAGTGAAGCCGTTCCACTGGCAAGACGGCGGCTGTGGCGCCCATCTTGCTAGGGGCATAATAAATTATCACCAACGTTACTAGAGCGATCAAAAACGAAGCGTTTCCCTCGCACGCCTACCAAGTTTAATGTGTGAACTTTTTCTGGTCACATAGTGCTCCAAGTGCGTCTTACAGTTACTAGTTTTTCTTAGTGAGACTCTAATTGGAGGCAAAGTACCTTGAAGATTCAGTCATCTATACTCGTTTCTGCGTGTTATTTCGTCGGGAACAACAATCTTTTAATGTAGAACTAACGTAGCACTTACATAACATATCAAAGCCATTTGATCTTTAAGTGGGCACCATCAGAAAAGAGCCTGTTTCCGTCATCTTGGCAGTGGCAAAAGATGGCTTCACTTCTGCTGGCAAGGCATTGCGGGAGCTTCCACTCCAGCAATTTTTCTTTAATCCTCCTTGGTCGTAGCAGACGACGCGGCTATCCTCACCCTCAGGGGAGCGCGCGAGCATCAAAACACCCTGCGTAGGTATGAAATTCAGCGATACTACAGTGTCTAGGCACTATATCTCTAGACACTGTAGCGATACCTATGTTCCAGTAAGAGCAATTTTTTGGCACTATTCACGCAAGCTTTCACATAAGTAGCATTGTTTGTAACAATTGTTCCACCATATAATGACCTGCAATGCATCAAAGCATGGCCTTTGAGATTTGTTTGAGAAAACTCGGGTAAAAACAAATTGGCTCATTTGTCTCAACAAACAAGCAAATAATTATACCAAGCGTAACATAAAGGTTTATGAACAAATATTTTAGAAAAACTTTGCTATTCACAATTCACAATAATAAAAAAAGTGTTTTGTACTAAATTTAGAAAAGACGAATAGCATCAAACTGGCAACCATGGTATTTTTAATGTGCGCGCAAAGTGGCGCAAAGTGAACAAAATTGCGGGAAACTCATTTGGCGGCAAGCGTGATACAGGCGTCGAGTACTTCGCGCAAGCTTTTGCCTCTGTAACTGTGTTTTGTGGATGAAAACGTTCCCTTTTATACGCCTTTATAACCGTCGTATTGTTATGCGTAGGCTTTGAACAGGTGGCCGCCGTTAGTGAAGCTTGAATGACGACTGGTCGACCACCACCACAACGGAGACGCCGGGAAGACCAGGGAAGACGCTCAACCACGCTGAAGCCACAAATGACAATTCGTCACTGAGATATATTTTCGTGAATGTTGCCACCCCTTCGGGCATCGTTAACAATATGCCTGCATTACAGCAAGACATTAGGGATACGGCGGTTCAGTTCGTGAAAGCTCTGGAGTGCCCTATTTGGTAAGCAAATTTAGGGTTCGTCTTCCCGCAGGTGCTTCGTTTAGCGAAAGCTTTTCATTCGTGTATCACTTAATTACTTGAGAAAACGACAAATGCTCTCTTGGGGAATGTTTCGCACACATTGTTCTTTAAGTGTTTCGTTTGCAGTTGTAGTCTTGTGACGGAAACAATAGTGACATTGACTAATACTGAACACCCCTAGCATGTTAGAGACGCCCGCCAGCGTCGTACTACCCGAGGCCATAGTAAACTGTTTTTCAATATTTCTGCAATTACTAACGATATCAGGTTGCATTATATGCTTCTTGAAATTGCGCAAGACATTTTTTGCGATTCCGATCTGTAGCTTACTCGGAACAAAGACGGTCTAGGTCAAATTGTGAAATCTGACATCGGCCGTCTCAAAGTGGTATAAAATATTTTTTCTGCCCACTCCTGTAAGCATTTTACTGACAAGAATTATGCGTTCTTTCTTGATCTCCCCGTTCTATTTCACTCGTGTGAAATATTGCCCCGCCGCGGTGGTCTAGTGGCTAAGGCACTCGGCTGCTGACCCGCAGGGCGCGGGTTCGAATCCCGGCTGCGGCGGCTGCATTTCCGATGGAGGTGGAAATGTTGTAGGCCCGTGTGCTCAGATTTGGGTGCACGTTAAAGAACCCCAGGTGGTCTAAATTACCGGAGCCCTCCACTACGGCGTCTCTCATAATCACATGGTGGTTTTGGGACGTTAAACCCCACATATCAATCAATCAATCAATCTCGTGTGAAATATTCTGCTAGTATATTAAGTACGTTAGTACGACGTTAGTGACGCGTCTTCCATAGGGACGTTAACGATGGCGCTGATGAATATTTCTCGCTTTATGCAAGAACAGCCAGGAATATTTGCTTTACGCAATCAGTTGACCAGGGTGGCATACGTCTACAATAGCCCCCCCCCCCCCCCTTTTTTTTTAAAAAAAAAAACCAGTACAGCAAACCACTTGTGATGCTGGGTAAGTTATCTGAAGAAAAATAAATTGCTCCAGACCATTGCACCAGCTATGGTGGAATTCGCAGTAGCAAAACAGTGACGAATTGCCATCATTACAATGTCTGAAGACAGCCTCTTATTGAAGTGCTGGCTTCAGCCACATTCACCGCTCAATAATTTCTGTATTATGGCAAGCGTCCATCATGCCCTGAACCTTCACCTTGTTTGGACTGCCGGATAATAGCACTCTTTGGTTTGTTTTTAATATTCATGTGACAAATTGTGCAAATGTTATCTATATGATTGGCTCTTTAAAGTGATTTTTGTGGTAATTTGCCATGTCCTTTCCAATGAGTGAGCTACAAGATTGGGTAACATTTTTAATACGAATTTTGCTACAAATTCATTTGTACAGATTGTTTTTTTGTCCCCTCCCTTCGTAATGCCTATATGGCGATGTGGGTACTCTGTTAATAAATAAATAAATAAATATTTGTGAAAGCACATTTTTCTCATTAATGTTCAAATCTGCTGTTTCAAATGTGTAGATGTAGTATTAGTTGGTATAATGGTAAGGGATCTCAGTAAAAATAGTTGTTGCTGCATGGTTGTTATAGGGTGGTATCACTTTTTTTTGCCTGCTTTTATGTAGAGGTACTATGTGTATGACATGTATTTGCTTTCAGCAGTTATGAGTCCTACATTGCCTTCATTTGTAAAGAGAATGGTGCAAGTCCACTGTGTTTATGGGCTTGCATAGGAGCCAGATCTTTATTTGGCATTGAACTCCGTAACATAAAAATTTGTTGTTAATTCAAAGTGTCAGTGCAGAGACCTTACGAATAGCAGTGTGCATTAATTGCTTTCCAATGTTATTGTCTTCCAACTTTTCTCTTTGCCTTTTAGCCTGGAAATTTTACGGGATCCGTTATCAACCAGTTGTCATCATCGATTCTGCAGGTGTGTTTCACGGAAGTGTTTATTCACTAGTTATTCCTGAACTAAGAGAATGTTCTGTCATTCAAGGCTGCTTTACTGTTTATAGATTATGTCTGGAACAGGCCCTCCAAGACAACTACAAGATTCCATGTCCACTTTGCAAGGCAGTGGTCACAAAGAGGTGTGTGCAATGCCTTTTTTGTTCTTACTGTGTGTTTATTAAATAGCCTGTAGCAGTTACTCACTAACATGGGTCCTATCATGTGGTGTGTGCAGAAGGTGTACCCAATCTTCAATAGATCGCAGACATGAAAAAAGGACGAACCACATTACGTTAAGAAAGACAAAACGAAAGCCAGGAGATTGAGGGGATGAGTGTATCAACAAGGACCTCAGCATTGTCATTTTTTGGGAACAAAAATGCATTCAGTGCCAGTGCACAGGCATCGAGCTCCAAACAGTTCCATTCAAATGTGTACAGTTGATACAATTTGAGAGGTTCATGGCATTTCTTCCTCAAAGATGAGTGCCCACGAGCGTGCACCAATGGGTGCGCACTCCGTACTAACATAATGAGCGAGACGGCTGGTGACTCCACCTCCGAAGAGAATCCTTTTGCACAAGCGAGATTATTTTTTATAGTCACACTGGTGATTCGCTGTTGCATATCATCTAAACAAGACCTCTCTGGACTTAAGTTGTATTGGATTACATTGAAGCTTCATAGCTGCACACTTGTTTGTGTATGTTTATGCTAATCTTTTGCTTATCTGTCCTGGTATAAATTGAAGGAACTATTCTTGGAAATGCTACGAGAAAAATTGGGATCTGCTGTGTTGATTTGAGAGTGAAAATCTTTAGCATTTGTGTGCTCTTATGGTGCAGGGCCTAATGTACTTTACTTTAATGCATTAGACATTGCTTGCTGGAGTAATATTTTATATGCTTGTCTTCAAGCAGACATATCTTAATTGAGCGACTATGTGTCCTGAAAAAAAATGCTTGCACATTTGGCTATGCGTGCCTCTGTTTGTTAATTTGTTTGTTAAACCCCCAAGTTTTTTTAGCCATGCAGCTGTCTTGCCGAATGACCTTCACTTGAACGAAATTATGAACTTGTCTGATGAAAGAATTAAACATTGGTGGCTCAGGACAGCAACCGGATGCTCTAACCATGTGGCTGCGATGGTACTTTTCGAGAGTAAACACGTGTCACATTGTGTAACGAGAGTGTGCAAAAACACATGTGCACTCTGTAGCTTTTTTTGTAGCGCATTAAGGAAATGGGTTCATATTGTTACGGAAATGAAGTAAAGGAAGAGGAAGGACACAATCAGCTGAGAGGTGCGCGAGTTTGCCAGTCAGCCATTGTGACTTTTGCCTGTGGCTTTTCCTTTGTGAAAAATTTTGTACAGAAGTCACCGACTCCGTAACATATCGGTGAGAGGTGCTGAATAACCATCAGGCAACAGAGCTCTGCAGCGGACGTCGCATCGGTTTTCCAGCCATGGCCAATGCTGAGCCCTCCGCATCAACGTCACCGTCTCCAACGAACACGTCGTCGCAACCATACGTTTTCACGCCATTGAAGGATCCCGGTACATTCTGCGGGACTGATAGCGTCGACGTTGACGATTGGTTGGCCATGCTTGAATGATTGAGTGTGCCAAACAGATGGGATCCCACACTTCAGTTGGCTAATGTGCTGTTTTACTTGAGAGGCATGGCCAAGGTATGGTATGATAACAACGAAGAACTCACAAGTTGGGACCAATGCAAAAAAAGATGCGAGAGGTGTTCGGTAAAACCGCCAGTCGTAAGATCGCCGCCAAAAAAGAATTGGCCTGCCGTGCCCAATCCCCAACGGAATCATACCTCGCATACATTCAGGACGTGCTGGCCCTTTGTCCAAAGGCTGAAAGCGACATGACACAAGGTGACTAGGTCGGGCATGTCCTGAAGGGGATTGCCGACGACGCGTTAATCTCCTGATGTGCAAGAGCTGTTCCACCGTGGACACGATCATCAAAGAGTGTCGTCAGTTTGAGCAAGTGAAAAGCCGCCGCATTCTGCAAACATTCGCCCGACTTCCAAGCACCACTGCAACATCGACTTGTGAGGACCAGTCCGCACCACAACGTCCGTCGCCGCCTGGAGACCTGACATGCATTGCTCGTCGTGAATTGGAAACAATGGCGCCCTCGGCGTTCTATTCGCGCAGTATCGATACCACTCCTGTTACTGTTCCTTTTGTTCAAGCCATTGTGCGCCAGGAGCTTGAAAACATCGGAGCGCATTCCGTGGGCCATGTCATCGCGCCCAGGGTCAGCGAGCGACCTTCGCGAAGTCCTCCTCCAACCGACGGCTTTCTCCACGTACCCGCAACCCGGCTGAGTGGCGAACTGCAGATGACCGCCCTATATGTATCAACTGCTACCGCGTTGGACATAATGCTCGTTACTGCCGCAACACATAGTCCTCGGCATCTCATGCAACGACCCATATGACCCGTTTCGACGGTACTGCCCGCACCTTTTCACCTGCCGAAGAGTCCAATGCCGTTGACCAATCTCGGAACACTAAGTACAGCCGCTCGTCTTCATCACGTGGGCACCAGTCTCGTTTGCCGCAAATACGCCGTCCATCGTCCCGTTCGCCGCAGCCACGGCGCTTCTTGTCCCCCGTGGCTTCCAGCCGCATCATCTCGGAAAACTGAGAATTGCAGCCCCCGGAGTTGGTGCTGTATTGACGACTTCCGCAGCAAATTATCTCTCCGTTCCCACCAGACGAAGTGTAATAGACGTTGAAGTAGACGGCATACCTATACAAGCACTTGTAAACACCGGCGCAAGCATTTCGGTCATGAGTTCAAGCCTACGCACACCTTTAAAGAAAGTTCTGACACCAGCGGCTGCACAAATGCTCCGTATGGCCGATGGCGGCGCGGCGATGGTTCTTGGTCTGTGCACTGCCCGCTTAAGTATAGAGGACCACACTACTTCTGTCATTTTAGCTGTGATTGACCACTGCCCTTATGATCTTATCCTAGGCCTAGACTTCTTTTCGAATCATTATGCTCTTATCGATTGTGCTACCAGCGTCCTTCAGCTAGAGCTGCCTCAGATAGTTGCTGAACCCCAGACTGCCCCGCCGCGCCTGTGCTCTCTTCAGGATGTACGACTGTCGCCTCAGACAGCCACCTACGTCGTTTTGACCACTTAGCCACAGGTTCCCGATGGTCAATATGTCCTCCTTCCTTTCGCCGATGTGCTTTTGAGCCCCCAACATTGCCACTCCCCATATGCTTGTGACTGTCACTGACAACTGTACCTCGCTCCCACTTCTCAATTTCAGCTTGTGCCCTCAAGTGCTTCCTCGTGGCATGTTCTTGGGCAGCGTATCTAACGCTGACGAATTCGAAATAGCGGCTCTCACCACCGAGATTGATTTACTTCAGTCTCGTGTAGACAACAGCACCTGTTCTCTGCCAAATTGTTTCTCGAAGATGATTGCACCCGACGTCAATCCTGCACAAGCCAGCGACATCCATCGCCTTTTTGCGTCATATACCGACATTTTTGATTTCGACGACAGACCTCTAGAGCAAACTTCCATGTTCAGCACCGTGTAAACCCTGGTGATGCCAGTCCTATTCGCTGACGCCCCTATCGTGTCTTTCACACTGAGTGCTGAGTTATCCAAGCGGAAGTTGACAAAATTCTCAACAAAGGTGTACTAGAACCATCAAGTAGTCCTTGGGCCCCCCGTCGTCCTTGTGAAGAAAAAGGACGGTACCTGGCGCTTCTGCGTTGACTATCGCCACGTCAACAAGATCACGCGAAAAGACGTATACCCGCTTCCACGCATCGATGACACGTTGGAGTGCCTGCACGGCGCTATATACTTCTCGTCTATTGATCTTCGGTCCGGCTACTGGCAGATTTCTGTCGATGAGATGGACCGCGAGAAGACGGTCTTTATTACACCGGATGATTTATACCAGTTTAAGGTCCTAACCCGCTTATACCAGTTTAAGGCCCTAACCCGCTTCCCTTCCCTGGGAATCCAGTCCGTAATGACCAGCAGTTATCCTGCCTACGTGCTGCATGCACGACCCATGTCCATTTATTCTGCTAGATTTCCACTATGATATTCTTAACCCTGGTTTGTTCCCTGAGCCACCTGGCTCTCATCTTGTCTTTTAAGGTTACACCTGTCATTTTCCTTTCCAATGCTCGCTGTGTCATCTTCAATTGAAGCTAAACACTCTTTGTAAAACTCCAGATTTCTGCTTCATAGGCAGCGGCAATATGCAGCTGTTATATACTTTTCTTTTGGGGGTAAGTGGTAGATTACCATTCATGATTTGAGAACGCTTGCCAAATGTGATCCATCCTATCTTTGATTTTCTGGTTATTTCACTCTCACTGTTTGCCAGACAGTTACTACCTGTCTTAAGTACACATATTTCTTTACAACTTCCAGTGTCTCTTCACCTATCGCAAAGTGCTGTCTTCTGCCAAGACTGTTGCACATTACTCTAATTTAGTGCATATTTATTTTCAGACCTACTTTTATGCTTTCCGTGTCCAGTTGTGTAATCATGAGCTGTAATTCGTTCCCTAAGTTATTTATTTATTTATTTACAAATACCTTACAGGCCTCGCAGAAGCATTGTGTATGGGGAGTCAATACGAAGTAAGAAGAATTTAGAATGACATCAAAAACAATGTTTGTACATAGAAGTAGGAGCAATGTAGAATAGCATAAAAAACAAACAATGACAATACAGCAAAATAACTTCTAGTACAAAACTAATCTATTTTCTAGTCTAATAATTTCTAGTACAATAAAGCTTAAAAACAACCGTATCACTTTTTAAAATAAAATTGAACTTTCATTGCACACTCATCAAGGCAATGTCATCAGCGAATCGCAAGTTGCTAAGATACTCTCCATTAACTTTTATCTTTAACTCTTCCCAATCTAGGGCTCTGAAATCCTCCTGTAAACACTAGGTGAATAGCATTGCAGAGATTGTGTCTCCCTGCCTTAACCTTTCTTTATTGGTATTCTGTCGCTTTCTTTATAGAGAACTATGGTGGCTGTGTATTTGCTGTAGATTTCTTACATAATGTTTATGTAGGGTTCGTCGATACCCTGATTCTGTAGTGCCCTCATCACTGCTGATGTCTCGACTAAGTCAAACACCATCTCGTAATTTATGAACGCTATGTATAGGTTTTGGTTGTGTTGTGCGGATATCTCTATCATCTGATCGATAGTATAAGTATGGTCTATAGTGGAGTAGCCTGTACGAAATCCTGCTTGGTCCTTTGGTTGATTGAACTGTATTGTCACTCTCATTCTATTAGCCAATTTTTCAGCACTGTACTGTGTCCTCTTCTAGTTTATGTTTGGGTGTCTTGCGCTGTAAGCCATAATGAATCTTCACCAACTAGCCCAGTTTTCCATCCTGCTTATTTTTGTAAATAGTTTGTAAAGAACGGACAGTAAGCTGATCGGCCTGTACTTTTTCAAGTCCTTGACGTCTCCTTTCTTATGGATTAAGCTAATGTTGGCCTTCTTCCAAGATTCTGCTACCCTTCCTATCAAGAAGTATGTGGTATATATGGTGGCCATTTTTTCTAACACAATTTCTCCACCATCTTTCAATGGGTTCGTTGTTTTTGAAAGTTCCTTGTAGCTCTTTTTTGTCGGTTGCATTTGAGGCTTTCATGGTTTGTCATCTCCTAATAAGATTTTTCATCTCCTGGGATAGTTTGCCAGTGTACTGTCTAATCACTATACCTCCGACTTCCATTCCGCACTCTTTGATGATACTAGTAAGATTCATTGTGTCAACGCTAACGTCGGTTACCTCGTTTAGAGCCGCGATTGTATTCTGAAGCAAAACTCTAAATTACTCTGTTTTCTCTCTCGTTGCTAGCTCATTAATTGGCTTTTTGCATATCAGTCCATGCCTTTGCTTATTTAAATCTAGGTGAATTCGAGCTCTTGCTATTCTATGGTCACTGCATGAGATCTTGCCAACCGCTTCTACATCATGTACAATGCCTGCGTGTGTACTCAGAATGAAGTCTATTTCATTTTTAGTTTCTCCATTACGACTCTGGCACCTCCATTTACAGTTAACCCGTTTTCTGCAAGAGGTGTTAAAGATCCGTAAATTATTACATTTTTCAAACTCTATGAATAACTCCCCTTTCGCATTTCTAGAGCCGGTGCCATATTTCCCACTGCGTGGTCTACGGCCTGTTTCTTTGCCTACATTGGCCTTAACGTCAACTATCAGTATAGCATATTGTGTCTTTTTTTTATTAATTGCTGACTCCACGTCTTTTTAGAAGTGTTTGACCATGGCTCGATGTAGTTGCTTAGGCCTGTACGACCATCATGTACCTTTTGTTAAACTTAGTTTTCCTTCTCTATCTTTACAACTGCACATTATGAAGCATTCATATGCGAGGTATAAATGCTTTGTAATGTGCATTTGTAAAGATAAGGAGGGGGTGCCAGTAAAGTTTCAAATGCACTTGTTCATAACAGTCGCATCACATCTTTCAATGTACTATCGGCGTCATATGAAATTTGAACAGCAGCAAGCATTTACTGTGCCATAGTGCATGCCCTCCAGTGATCACCATTGAGAGGCACGTGCATATGGACTGGTAGCACTGCACATAAATGCATGCCTGTCTATGGTGATAGCTGGATGGCGTGCTATACCATTGCGCATGCTTGCTGCTGCTCTCGTTTCATTTGATGCTGATAGTACTGTGGTGCTGTGGCAACTTTCTAATGCCCTCATTCTTTGGGCATGTGCCCACGAAAGAAAGAGAGAGCAGCGTTCATCTTGGAATTTGACCCACTTCCCCGGCATGTAGCATCACTAATTTCGGCAGATGGGATCGGAACGCCCCATGTACACATTGGGCTTGCCAGCTCAAAATTGTCAAACCTGCGTGTGACCCTTGAAGGCAATGTTTTCCATAGCTTTAATCCCATGCGCCATCCAGATGTGATGCCTGCAATGTGGTTGCCAGTGTTGTTTCCTAGCACTGACCCTTTTCATAAATATGCCACATGACAGTGGGCTTTATGCACTTTCGTTTTTGCAAAGAGTTCGGGGATAGAATTCGCCATGTTTAGCTAATGCAAGAGGGCATAACCAGCGTATCTATCAGTATGTGTACACAGGTTGTGTGTTAATTTTATGTGCGAGACGGTTGCTTCTCGCCGTCTCCTAAATCTCTACGAATAAACGCACTCGTGCTTCGCTTTGCAGAGGTAGTGCAACTGGCTTCAGCCTCGTAATGAGTAACCTATCGATCAGGTGGACAAACAGTTTGACGCGGCTTCTATGTCGAGGCGGACACTAGCCCGCGCAGACCAGACTTCAGTAGCCGGTAAAGAGAAATATTGGTTGTAAAAGCCAAAAACCGCTGACGAGAAGTCACGTCCACGCAACCGTAGCAGCACCACCATTGATGAACACAGTGGAAGTTAACCTGCGAAATGAGGTGGACACATGAGAGTGAAAGTCTTGAACGGCCATTGCCGAGCACTTCTAAGTACTGTTCCATGAAGCAGTTGCAACGTGTAAAGGCTAGCAATACTTAGAAAAAATACCCATGTGCCAACAAATACTAGTTCAATGTTTTCACCGGCGAACTGTGATTTCATTTTCCGCTTCAGACTGAGTTATACATGATGATTTTAGCCCTAACTAGAAATAAACTTTGTTAAGCTACCTTTAATGTACCGGTTCCACATCACGTGACGCTTCAGTATTTCATTTGTAGCTGATCGCGACGCCTCATGTGCAGGCTCATGCTCATTCACAACCACAAAAACCAAAGAAAAGAAACGCGAGGATTCGTACATTTTGCTGACAATTTGTTAGACAGCTTCAACAGCTGTGCACTTGATGTGTGAAACTGAGCGTAATAAGGTCTGCCGAGGCTTTACGACAACTCTGCTGCCAGCAGTGGCATTCTATTCGGTGTAGTACACTGTATGTATTTGCTACGATGGCTTTGGTGTCATTGCTGCCCTCGCTACCATGTCCAACTCAACCGGCTACATCAACAGACTGCGACATTTCGCTTGCTTGGTGGCCCTGAACCAGCACTGTCAGAATTTCGTGTCACTACGTCACATATGGAAATCACTGCGACATGCTTAAATGGTGACAGAACGGAACACATTCTTTCCAACCATCTGTAGCAACACGTTTCCGACACGATTCACAATGCGCGCACTAGCTGCTACACTTGTGAAACGTCCCGCACTGGCAGTCTCAGTAACCACCCTAGTTGCAAGCAGTGTCGGCTGTTGTGATGTTCTAAACATGGCAGCTTGGAGTAGTTCACGTGAAGGCCCCTTAAGGCTTTACTGTGATAACAGTCAGGACGGTGTGCTTGTGGGCGCCACTATGCCTTGTTACCACTTTCAATGTTTTTGTTCTTGCTGTGCACAATAGAAATATGTGAGACATCTGCTGTGCTTCGTATTAGCAATAGCACCATCAGTTTTGAGAACATCGTCCACAGAATCAATTGTAAGGCAGCTGCTTTTGTATAATCGGGAGCAAGGGTGACTATGATGAAGGGGAGTGTTTAAGTGAATGTGCAATAATATAAAATATTAAAGGAATATATTCAGCATTGGTAAATTAATGCCTCTGGTGCTGAATCTCTAAAACCTAACCTTTATGCCACAGGCGAGTGCACTGAATGGTGGGGTGGAACGTCTAAGAATGTCCGCCAGCAGCCAATCTCGTGCAAACACTTCACACATTTTACACGAGGCTTAGTGTTTCCCTTTACCCTTTCACTGTCCGTCCCGAGATTATACGACACCCACCTGATATGGTGGTTTTGCGTGGTCCCCTCAAATTTGTATAATTGGGGTTCCATTGTATGTGCATATGGTAATTAGCTCATGGCTTGTTTTTTTGCCATCTCTGATTTGTCAGTAGCACTATATTTTTGATGAGATCATCCTCAGTGGAAAAGTTTACGTGTCTTAAAAAGCATCCTACTGCACTGGTGGCTCAAAAAGTCTGCATAACATTCACAAAAGAAAAAAAAAAATGGCAGGGAGTGTAGCCAAAAAAATCTCTGTAATAAGAGTTATGCAAACCCCATTTTCTTAATGCTGACATTTGCTGTGGGTATCGCCTCTGTGCATACATCATAGAAGTACAAGGCATTCACCACTACTGGCATATTAATGATCTCTTGTTTGATGTGGCCAGTGTGCCATCTCCCAACATAGTTCTAGCACTTTTGGCTCGTGATGCCTGCTAAATACAGTAGACCTTCAGTAAACGGAAATCTGTTAAACGGAACTATTGCCTTTGCAGTGCTTCGTTTCAGGCTTGTATTCTGCACCCGTGTTCACTTCTCAGTTAACGGAACTCCTGTTAAATAGAACATATTTTGCCGATCCCTTCAGGTTCCCTTTACTGAGAGTCTACTGTACGAGCTGACTTTTTGAATGCTTACAAACTGCTTGTGCAGCTACGCCTGAACCTTGACTTTGTTGCAGGTCCCTCACTCAGAGTGACCTCATAGTGAAGCTGGTGGATAAGGTGAAGCAGCTGGTGCAGGCTGTGAAGAGTGACTGTGGTGTGGAAGGTGAGAGCTGGACATTGAAACGATCATCCGATAGCATGAGAAAAAACTCTGGAGAAACAGTTCAGATTAGAGCATGTGTATTCCCGAGGATGTTTTAAAAGATATGACACAAACAAGGAATGTAGTGTTTGCAGTGCTCACTGTCTCCATTTCTTGTCAATTTTGTGTTTCTTGGCAGGGGCAACATTGATAGCCAGCTGAGCCTTCCTTTGACCTGTTTTCATGGTGCACTCATAGTAAACATTGGAGTTTGCTTGTACTGGAGGTGCTCGAGATTAAAAAACAGCTACAGGAATGGCAGGCAACACTAGCCAATTACCTGTTTTCCAGCTCTGGCGCAGTGGTCTTCAATGGCTGGCATATGGGAACTGTCACATTGGTTTTAATAATTGCGCTGATGTAACTAGTGACGAAAAAAATTTAGCAGTGACTTAGCTCGGCTATGCCAAGATACCCTATAAACCGGACTATAGGTCAAGTGGGAATATAGGTCGACCCACCAAGTTCAGCTTACCGAAAAAGAAAAAAAGGAAAACAACCCAAAATAACCGAACGACATTTATTTGCGAATTGGGCGCACCGCACCCCGATCGTCGGAGCTCCCCTCAACCACCATTCCAACTGTCCCTATTCGTCAGACGAAGCACCACTGTCTTCTGAAGACGAGAGTTTGTCGCTGGCCGCCTCCCACAGTGCGTTGTCTTTCGTGCCATACAGCAAGTTTCTGATGGAACATTTCTTAAAAGCGTTTTTCACCATGGAATCTGGCAAGGAACGCCAGATGGAAAGCACCCAACCACAAACAGTCGCAAGCGGAAGCCTTTGTAGGCGGCACGTAGTTGTCTTTGGGTTGTCGCCGGACATCCACTTTTGGTACTCCAGCCGCACTCGGTCCTTGAACAGCTTGTATAGCACGACGTCGATCGGTTGGAGGGTGGACTTCATACCACCTGGTATCATGGCAAGGTCCATTTTTCCATCGCCCAGTGCACGCTTCACAGCGTCGGTTAAGTGACCCCAAAACTCATCTTACACCAGTATGCTGCAAAGACACAGCAGTGCACCTGGCTGGTGTTTCCAGACTACTCGTATCCATTCAAGCATCATGGCCTCGTTCATTTATCTCTTTTTGTTGACGCGAACGACAACCGAGAGGAAACACTTTTTTCGGCATTGCCTTACGTTTCAAAATGATGAAGGGCCGAAGCTTTCTACCATCTGCCATGTATGCCAGCATGACAGTGAAGCGTGAGTGCTCGTTGCCCGTGGACAACAGGTTCATATCCTTGGCGCCACGCTGCATGATCATGGTTGAAGGCATGTCAAACCACACGGGGGTCTCATCGGCATTGTCAATCTGCCTCATCATATAGTTGTTCTGCTCCCGAAGCCAATTCACAAAGCCCTGAAAGTTTATAAGCTTGTCCTCGAACTCTTCTGGAAACTTCTGACAGATGGATGTGCGCCACCAGAAAGAAAATCTTTTGCATCTCGTGAATTGACGCACCCAAGAGATTGGTGCACGAAACTCTTCTCTCGTGAGCCCAGCTTCTCGAGGGAGTTCCACAGCTCTCTTGCAAATAATATCTATGGTCACTGGCAGCGAGCACGCATGAATTTTCCACACAAAGTTCCTGAGTATATTTTCCAGCTGCGGATGAACTGCACTTCACCCAGGAAATGACATTTTCTGAGGATTGCACATCTGCAGCTTCCCTTTCTGCACCCTCCAATAGCGCAGCCTTCTCGTACCGCTACTCATATTCAGTGAACGAAGAAAAGCCCACTAAAAATGAAACACAACGTCAAGCAGAGCGAGAACTTAGAACAGATCGGAGGCAAATCACAAACACACAGAAAAAAAAAAAAACAGACAAGAGGGGAAAAAAAACCTGCTATTGGATTTGAATGCGAATATGGCCGTGTTCTAGCTTCTCTTGCACATGCAAGCCACATGATGTCAGACAGCGGTGCACTGTCAGCCAGACACCGCTATATAAGACGAAGGGCGACTTTATCTCGACTTATATTCCAGTTTATACGGTATACCTAGCGTGAGCTAATGCGCTGTTATGTCTCCGCAGCACGTTCCTCTGTTCATTCTTCTTACTCAGCTGCTAATTGCCAGGCAACTACTTCGGGATCCTATGAGTTAAGCTTTTCCGCTCCTCTGCACCACTGAGGAGCAGTTTCGCTGTACTTCTCCATGGCCATACCACACGGGCAAACACTCCGCTATATGTGCACCCGCTCCGATACCTCTACGCATGCGCACGAAATGAGCACTGTCAAGCTGCTCCAGCACTGTGTCTGACTTGACTACTGGGCAACGGTGGCGCACAGCTTGGCATGGTACGTCTGAGCACAAAACCAGTACGGCTGCTGCGGCCACGAGATCACTCGTTTGCAATGCGCAGACCGGCGTGGTGTGCGCAGTGGTGGCTCCGGCGCAGCATATGTGTGCCGTGCGACGTCACTTCTTTGTGTATATGCAGCATGGCTCTCCAGGAGCCACGCGAAACTGGTCGATCTTGGCAAGTGTAGCTTACGTTACAAAAAAGTGGGAGGGTCGCTCAGCCACAGGATAAAGCAAGCAGTCTACCTAGGCATTTGTGAAATTGTAAGACACATATTTAACTTGCACGTTCACAGTGCCGCATTGTTTCCAGGTTGGCATTGTCTTCTTGCCATATTCAGCTAGTGGTTTAGTATGTCTTTGGCTCTCTGTGGCCCTCCGGGCAAAATTGTGGTGTTGCATGGACTTTATTTAAATTTGAAAAGTGATTATTTCTTACTACCATAACATAACTTTCCAGTCTAGTTTGGGTGTTTAGTTTAGTTGGCTCACTTTTTGTATCTGCCTGACTGGCATTATTTTCTTATGCCATTGGTGGTCTGTTTTCAGGCATTGAAATTCTTATACGTATAAACAAAGTGGATTAAATAGTGTTCTCCCCCAGAAATCAGGCCAAATTGGTTCACAAAAATAAAAAATAAACCATCATCCGAATCCTGTCACATAGGCAAACAACAGTACAATTTAACTATGGGTGCTTTCTTGGCAGGGAAGAGGGGTACTGTGAGATATTACAAGATGCTCTGGAACCTCACAGTCAAGGTAGAGTGTGGCTACCCTTTTTTAGTGCTGGTAGTTATTTGTTTTGTTTACTAAAGTGTGTAATTGTTTGTGAATGCATGCATAACCACCAAATCATTGAACAATGATTTCCAGTGAATCTGGCAGACTCGAAACTTACAGAAATCCTTTGATGTGTTCACAGTCACACCACGAAGGGGCCAGTTAGAGCCAGCAAATGCACCTCTGGAGCGGCACTTGGTCCACTCATCTGCCCAGAAAGCGGCAACATCGTGCAAGAATTCCCTGAACTTAGTGAGCTTCCCATTTGCTCATTTCTGTTCTTGTTTATATTTCATGTGCGAGAAAATTCAGGCACAGCGCATTCGACGCGTACTTGCCTAACTATTGCCCGCAATGTTTTTTCACTTGTTATGAACTGTTGCAGTGTTGTTGATTAGAGCAAGATGTGCTTTTTTGTATATATGAGCATTGTGTGATGTTGTCGTCAGTTATACAGCAAAATATTGTCTCCAGGCAGATTGCAGCTGCATCATTAATAGTGGTGTACATCTATGATGATACGGTAAAAACAAGGAAGTTCTATAAAACCTCAGAGTAGCAGTCCCGGCCGCCATCAAGGGGAGCAAGTAAAACCGCCTTCAGCCATATTCCTAGAGTAACAACAGAGCGGAATCGCCATAGACAGCAATGGAATGCGCGCATCGCGCACGTCAGTTTCCAGTTCCACAATAAAAAAATGAGATGGAAACTAGTTTTAGGTTTCACCAATGAACAAATGCCTCTTCTCATTTATGAAACAAATTATTTCATGCACCCATTGTCAGCTGCACGCTTCGCAAAGTAAAAGCAAAGGCTCGCAATTCTGGAGAATATTGGGCATTGCCTTTCTTGGTTGCTCTGCTAAGCAGCTGTGAGATGTCCGAGGAGAAGGTGGCTTAGAAAAATTTGAGTCTCTTCTCTGACAGAAATCTCCTGTCTGTCAACTCCTCCACAAGTTCCTTGGAGTCATCCAAGCGCTTCGAAAGTCTGCGCTTGCATTGTTGCAATGTCTTCACCTTCTTCTTAAATTGCTCAATATCGTTTTCGGCATCTCTCACTTTTTCCTGATAGAAAGCTTTAGGAATCGTTGGCGTAGCATTTTCCTCTATCGGCTGCTCTATGTTCAAAGCTAGCGTTCTTGGGGCTGCGGTAGGTCTCTTTTTCTCTTTGGCAGCAAAGAAAAAGAAATCGAGAGAAATTCTTTTGTTTCACTCGAGGTTGCTTTGGTAACCATTGCGGCACAAAAGGGTTGTATATATTGGGTGTTTTAAAAAATGTGCCTGCAGATACTCGATATCAAGGGAAGCGCGACATTTGCTCGGCTCTTTCATATGTGCTTGTGTTTGTGTGTTGGGAGATTACCAGGGAATATATAAGGGAAGTTGAAATAAGTAAAGCTAAAGTAAGAGAAGAGAGGTAATTAAGTAAACTGGGAGTTAGCAGTAATTTTCCCAGAGTTATCGAACTCTAACCAATTGACAGGCAGAACCAAAACCGAAGCACCGATGTCGCGTGCAACCGACAAACTTCAGGAGACTTACCCCAAATGAACCATTTATAAGAACGATTGCAGTGGCTAGTTTTACATAATATTGCTACGTAGCTGACGTATCAGCGGTCAGAAGACGACAACGAGGAAGTGGTCTGTCGGTTGTGCGTGCTGCTTTCATCTTAGTCGACGCCATACGCACAATCTTGAATATAGATTTTAAATAGACACACCTCGTGTCATTTTTACGTAACATCTTTGTGGTGGACGTGCTGGGTACTTCCCCGTCTTCATCACGAAGCTCCGCAACGGCCGCATCATCATAGGTCCAACCATGCCACAGGTTGAACAACCATCGTCTTCGCCACCCGCCCCTACCGTGACTTCTACATACGTCGTTCTACCTCCTGCTCGTGATCCCGGTGTATTTTCCGGTCAGGATGGCGTTGACGTTGACAAATGGATCAACCGGTACGAACGAGTCAGCGCAAGCTATAGGTGGGACCCGACTCTTATGCTTGCGAATGTGCTTTTTTACCTCGATGGCCCACCGCGAGTGTGGTTCGAGACGCACGAAGCGGAGATTACGAGCTGGGACTCCTTTAAAGAGAAGATCCGCGACCTTTTTGGCGACACCGTTGGGCGGCAGATCGCAGCGCGGAATCAACTGGCGGCTCGTGCACAGACGTCGACGGAGTCGTACGTCGCGTACATTCACGACGTCATAGCCCTATGCCGCCAGATTGACGAGCACATGAGTGAGTCGGAGAAAGTGGCCCAGTGTGCTGAAAGGCATAGCAGACGACGCATTTAATCTCCTAGTTTACAACAACGTTGCCACCGTCGACGCCATCATTAAGGAGTGCCGGCAGTTCGAAGAAGCCAAGAGCCGCCGTATTACTCAGCGATTCACCCGGCTGCCCAACACGGCCGCGACCTCATCGTGTGAAGCCGCCCGCCAGTCCCCCACGTATGACAACGTCACACGCATTGTTCGTCGGGAAATCGAAGCCGCCTGTCCGGCTCCTCTTCAGCCACCCGTTTTCGCAACGCTCGCCTCTAACCAACAACAGCCGTCAGTGGCGTTAATACAAGCTGTGGTGAGGCAGGAGTTTGCGAACCTCGGACTTCCATCAGCATGTCCCTTTACTCGCCCTGAAGTCCCGTCCTACTCCCGAGGACACGCTCGCCGTTCACCTCCAACAATGCCCTTCCGTAACCATTCCGAATGGCGAACACCCGACGACCGGCCTATTTGTTTTTCCTGCCACCAGCCTGGGCACGTTTCTCGCTATTGCCGCCGCCGTTGGTCAAACCAACCACGTCAGACTTTCTCTACCTCGGCGCTCATACATTCGACGACCCCTCGACGTTCAGTCGCCACACCCTTCAATTTCTATTCGTCGTCATCTTACGAGCCTTCCACTGACGCCCCTTCGTCCGGTCGCCGCTACCTGACGCTCTTCGTCCGGTCGCCGCAGCTCTCGCTCCCCGTCGCCGCTACGTCGCCAATCCCGCTCTCCGCCACCTCGGCGCTTTTCCTCGCCGAGCTTCTCTGGACGACCGCAGCAGGAAAACTAGATATTGCAGCTTATAGAGGTGAAGCTGCAATACCAATGACGGCCGAAAATCCTCTACTAATGCTTCCCACGCACCATAGCCTGCTTGAAGTACAAGTCGACCATGTTCCTGTGACCGCCCTCATTGACACAGGTGCGCACCTGTCTATTATGAGCGCTTCTCTACGCTGCCGCTTACAAAAGATTATGACGCCATCTACGACGCAGGCAATATGTGTTGCCGATGGCGGTACTGTACCAGTAATCGGAATGTGCACTGCTCGTGTCAGCATTGCCGGTCGTCACGCCGTGGTCCTTTTTGCCGTGCTAGCCTGCTGCCCTCATGACCTCATACTTGGCCTTGATTTCCTTTCGGCACACTCGGCCTTAATTGATTGTTCGTCTGGTACCCTCAGCCTTGATCTACCAATCTTTGCCGACTACTCTGCAAAGCCCACCAGCCGCTAGAGCCCAACCACTTTCGTTCGCCTGCCACCTGGAGCCGTCACGTACGTGTCTTTGTCATCGACCCCTCCCGTTCCTGACGGTGATTATATCGTTACGCCAATTACTGACGTTCGGCTGACGCGCAGTGTTACTGTGCCCTATACCATCGCGACCATAGCGGATAACTGTGTGTTACTTCCGCTCCTTAACTTTGGTTTCACCCCTCAAGTGTTGCCCTGCCAGATGTCTCTAGCCCAGCTAACTGCCATAACAGAGGACGATGTCAGTGTTGTCGCTGTATCTGCTCTTGATCGAAGCGCAGTCTCACGGTCACCCAGCTCAGACGATGGTATGTTTCGAAACATGATTGGATCGGAGCTGTCGCCTCACCAGGCCGACGCTCTCTGCCAAGTTTTGGCCTCGTACAGTGACATTTTCGACACCGACGATCGTCCCTTGGGCCAGACTAAAATTGTCACTCACCGAATCAACACTGGTGACTCTGCGCCCATTCACCGTCGGCCGTACCGCGTGTCAGCGTCTGAGTGAGAAGTGATTCAGAAAGAAGTGGCCAAAATGCTTACGAAAAACGTAATTGAACCATCAACGAGCCCTTGGGCATCTCCCGTGGTATTAGTAAAAAAGAAAGACGGCTCATGGCGTTTCTGCGTTGATTATCGCCACCTCAACAAAATTACCAAAAAAGACGTGTACCCTCTACCACGCATTGACGATGCCCTTGATTGCCTCCATGGCGCCACCTTCTTTTCATCTCTCGACCTCCGATCTGGCTACTGGCAAATTGCTGTAGATGACATGGACCGAGAAAAGACCGCCTTCGTTACCCCTGACGGTCTTTACCAATTCAAGGTCATGCCATTCGGGCTCTGCAACGCTCCAGCGACCTTCGAGAGAATGATGGACACGCTCCTACAAGGATTTAAATGGTCGACATGTTTGTGTTACCTGGACGACGTGATCATTTTCTCACCTACCTTTGCAACCCACCTTGAACGCCTTTCAACCATTCTATCCATATTTCGACGGGCCGGCCTGCAGCTCGATTCCTCCAAGTGCCACTTCGGTCTTCGTCAGATTACAGTGTTGGGTCACCTTGTTGACGCTGCCGGCGTACGGCCAGACCCGGCGAAAGTACGCGCTGTAACAAACTTCCCAGTCCCACGCTCTGTCCATGATGTTTCGCAGTTTTGTGGGCCTCTGCTCCTACTTTCGCCGGTTCGTGAAAAACTTTGCGGCACTCGCACGGCCACTCACCGACCTTCTCAAACAAGACGTCCCATTTTCTTGGGGCCCTCCTCAAGCTGACGCCTTCTCTCAGCTAATCACTGCTCTAACGACACCTCCTATTCTTGCACATTTCGACCCCGATGCTCCCACAGAAGTGCGAACAGACGCGAGTGGTCACGGAATTGGTGCAGTTTTGGCGCAAATTCAGCGGGGCAACGACCGTGTAATCGCGTACACAAGCCGTCTGCTTTCTAAGTCTGAGCGCAATTATTCTATAACAGAACAGGAATGTCTCACTCTTGTTTGGGCGGTTTCGAAATTCCGTCCTTACTTGTATGGCCGCCCTTTTCGTGTCATCACAGATCATCACGCGTTGTGTTGGCTTTCTTCTCTGAAGGACCTTACTGGACGACTTGGTCGTTGGGCATTACGCCTACAGGAGTATTCCTACTCGGTTGCTTATAAGTCTGGACGTCTCCATCTGGACGCCGATTGCTTATCCCGCTACCCTGTTGATCAGCCCGACGAACCAGACATCGAGCCTAGCCTCAGCGTCATGTCAATGTCCCAGTTTCTTCAGATTGGTGATGAACAACGTCGTGATGCTTCTCTGCGACAACTTATTTACCGTCTCGAATCTGCTCCGAACGACACGTCACTTCGCATGTACATCCTCCTGAATGGCACGCTGTACCGTCGTAGCCTCCAGCCAGATGGCCCTGAGCTCCTTCTTGTCGTGCCGAAAAATTTGCGTTCAACCGTGCTGCACGAGCTTCACGATGACCCAACTGCTGGTCATCTGGGTGTATCTCGGACGTACGACTGCGTGCGTCGCCGCTTCTTTTGGCGCGGTCTCGCCCAGTCCGTTCGCCGTTACGTGTCCTCCTGCGATAAATGCCAACGTAGGAAGCGACCTACTGCGCCCCCGGCTGGACTTCTTCAACCGATCTCCATCCCAACCGAACCTTTCTTCCGTGTTGGTATAGATCTTCTCGGTCCTTTTCCCGAGTCGACATCGGGCAACAAGTGGGTCGCTGTTGCTATAGACTATGCGACTAGGTATGCCATCACTCGAGCGCTCCCCACCAGCACCGCTACTGACGTTGCGGACTTTTTGCTCCACGACGTCATCCTACACCATGGCGCTCCTCGCCAATTACTCACGGATCGTGGCCGCGCATTTTTGTCCCGTGTGATCGACGATCTTCTGCGCTCTTCCTCGACGCACCACAAGCTGACCACTTCCTACCATCCCCAAACAAATGGCCTTACCGAACGACTAAATCGGACCCTAACGGACATGCTCGCGATGTATGTGTCCTCCGACCACCATGACTGGGACCTGGCGCTACCTCACGTGACCTTCGCGTACAATTCTTCGCGCCACGACACCACTGGTTATTCACCCTTTTATTTGCTTTATGGCCGTGATCCGACGTTACCACTCGACACCTTACTTCCAATCACTACAACGCCGTCAACCGAATATGCACGCGACGCTATTGCTCGTGCTGACCACGCACGTCAGATCGCCCGCTTTAGACTTTCGGCTTCGCAAGCCACCCAGAAAGCCATCCACTACAGCCGGCATGCTGACGTTCAGTTCTCACCCGGTTCTCTTGTTCTCCTGTGGTGCCCAGTTCGTCGAGTTGGCTTATCAGAGAAGTTATTGTCTCGCTACATGGGTCCTTACCGTATCATCCGCCAGGTAACCGACGTCACCTATGAGATCATTTCTGCATCTGAGACCACAAGCCTGCCTGCAACCACACCCAGTAATGTCGTGCACGTCAGCAGGCTAAAACCTTACCACCTGCCTAGTGAAGACCGTAGTTAATGTGCATCGAGACGGCGCTTTTACCGCCAAGGGGGTAATGCTACGTAGCTGACGTATCAGCGGTCAGAAGACGACAACGAGGAAGTGGTCTGTCGGTTGTGCATGCTGCTTCCATCTTAGTCGACGCCATACGCATAATTTTGAATATAGATTTTAAATAGACACACCTCGTGTCATTTTTACGTAACAATATTTATCAAATTTCGTTGGTGACGCGGGTTGTCATGGCAAGCGCAGCCTTCAGAGCCTAGAAATGAGGTAGCTCGATGTTTTATATAACGCCACTCACTCATTCTGGCAACCTCGTCTATCGGTGTTTTGGTTTGGGTTTAGTCGGCAAGATAGAACAGATTTCAAAGGTGTCTCATCTAGTTTTAGACTCAGTTGCTTATTTTCGTGACCACATTCTATTGAAACTACCTCAAGGAGGTAGAAACTAACAGGTTTTTGCAGATACACTGTGAAAGCAGGAAAAATCGAAGGTTCACTGCCAGGCTGCAGTCTGGTTGTCTGCCCCGTTCTGTCGAAGCAGCATTCTTCGAAGTGAATGGAGCAGATGTGGTCACTGTTTTAGCCTTGCAACTGTTTCTTCGAACAGCACGTTCCCAGGCAGAACGCAGCGCACTGTCTTTTGGAAACCAGTAACACGGATAATCACGGCATGGAATATTTTCTAGGTTTGCGAATTCCTCGATAAACATTCACCAAATTTGATATTCACTGGCCAAAAAAATATGCATGCACGCCGTCGGTTTTGTCTTGTAAGATAACACCAGAAGGCTTGTCATTTGAAGGGTGTAGCGCTACGCTACATTTCGCCAGCAAAAGAAGCGAGCCCCACACAGCTGCGGCTCGTGCACGTATTATAGACTACAAGCTGCGTACATGGCATCCATAATGGCATTGCACACGGGCGAACACTGTGAAGGCAACTGTGACGTTCGCTGCATGTGGCGTTGTTCTGTAACGAAAAACGCAACATGGTTTTTCAGCTTTAATTGCTAGCAAGCATAGTGCTTTAAAAAAAAATGCTAGGAGAAAATGAAGAAAAAAAATCACATGTGTCTGCCTCGTTAAGCTCGTTCCCTTTAGACCCGTTCTTCGCAAGGTCTCTTCGCTTTAGTTCCACAAAACTGAGGCTGGTGCATCTACTAAAGCTGAACATTATCACGGTGGGCAGAAAGGGTCCACACACAAATTGTTCCTTTTTACCTTGTGCATGGAAGGGGAAGGAGGAGAGAGGTGAGAAAATGTGCTATCGATGTGAACAATACTTCAAGATCTTGTGCACAGTCAGATGCAGGAAACATCTAGTCTGCCTTGGCCCTAACGTCAGCTTTCTGTTCCAATATCACGCTCGGCAAGCTTTTTGGGCTGTTGTACGCAGTGTTGACATAAGGCTTCTCCTCGAATTCATCTGCGTCGATTATTGTGGACCTTGCAATGGACAGCAGGTTCTTCTTTTTTACGGAATATCTCGCGTTGATAAGAGAAGAAAAGCAAAGGGTGAAGCACAGCGAGCTGGCATCGCAACGAAGAATCATGGTGGCACACAGTGGAATGATGGTACATGGTTGCATGCGGTACTTTCTACTGGCCGTGTGTGGCGTACTCCTAATCATGCCTCTTGGGTCTCCCAAATGTATGCGATGAAAGCCCTTATTCCATGAGGAGAAGCCAATAGTTTGCTCGAGGAAACCAACTCGAGGCGCTTCCTCGGTGTCTGATGTGCCAAGTGTTCCAGCTCTAATTGTTCTATAGATAGGTGTAGTTTTTTTTTATTCATTAACATTAAAGCATTGCCGTGAGGCAAAGTAGTTCGATATAAGCGATAGTTCGATTTACCAGAGTTCGTTATAGTGGGCTTGGACTGTAGTATATTACGCCTGTTTATTTTCATCTAGTCACTGTGAGAAAGTCTTCAACATGCTAGCAGTATCAACACAAACAACTTAAATGAGTAGTACTGGTATTGTTGTTGCTCAAAAGGAGTGCTGACATATGAACTTGGGATTCTCCTTGCATTAAATGAAGCTCCAAATGCTCTACCCTTTACTAAAATATTGTTCTGCGATTTGTTCTGCATCACGATAACTAAGTGTGGCACTCCACCTCGTTACTAATATAAAATTATTTATAAGTGTTTTCCAACCTTCATTCTTGCCAGGTGTTATTTATATTATACAAGCAAGCAGCACAAGGTAGATTCTACAACCCCAAAAGTAACCACAAAGCAGCGCATAATTTCCTGCAAACTAGCCTATTGGTTTGTCCATTCAAACTTCAAAAAGTGTTCTTGTAATGCACAAGAGAATAACTAATGGCAGATGGATTGCGTGTCACTTTTACTTTAAAAGACACCAGCAGCCTTTCAAATTTAATTATCTACCTTTGCATGTCTTCTTCCCACAGAGCTCACGTGCAACGAACAAAAGGGCATTTGCTGTGCACACTGGTAAGCCTCCTCTTTTTTTACCACGTTTTTATGATACTATAGGCATTGTGCGCAGCTTGTGAAAAAAAACAAAAGCAGGGATTGCTCAACTTCCTCTTTCTTTGTGTGTGTGTGTATGTGTTTGCTGTTGCTGAGCACACAGCATAATGTTGCGTAGTGTAGTATTTGGTGAAGGCTATTATTCGCACTGCAGTTACTGTAAGCCGTTGGGGGTGTTGACTACACTGATGAAAGTGACTTCTTTAACTTTTGCCTACCGAGTTTCTTTCCAATAACGATACAAGACTGGTTTTTTTTTTTCATCGGCCTGTTTGACTCCACGTCTCTCAGAAAAAATACAAAAATTATTTAAAGGCGCTTCATTTACAAGATACAAATGAAATACTACATATATATGTTTAAAACACCATATTTACTTGCATAATCCTCGCACTTTTTTTGCGGAAAAAACTGATGAAACGTTGTGGGGTGCAAGAATCACACAGGGGAAGTTTTCCTCGCATAAGTACAGAGCGAAAATGAAACCGAAGCAGCTGCAAAACTGGATTCGCATGCCAGCAACTAACAAGAAGCTTTGTGAAGTACTAATCAAGACTTGCCTTAACAATAATACCGCAGGTTCAATACAAGACAAAGTTTATTTGCAGACACAAAAACCACTAGCAAATATTGTCTCAAGTGTCTTCGCGGGGAGACCCTTCACATAATGAGAAAGTGCCGCGTCAACTTATGAGTACTACGGGCCGCCGTCAACCTTAGGCTAATAGCCATTTAACATGGAATTGTTCGCAGTTGCCTTCTGACAAAATAAAGTTTCATCATTCATCTCTGTGTAAGGCATACAAAAGGCCCGGCATGTCTTGGTGGCTGTCAGCTGCTCGTGCTGCCATCACCGGTAGCGAGCACAAAATTCGTTGACTCTGAAGTGCCTGCCAGCAGCCCTGTTGACGTTTATTGCATGATCAATCACTTTTCAAATTGAAAGCAACCGTGTAGCTTCTGTATTGCCCATAGTGCAACCACAGAATGGACGCAACAACGTTCCCTACACTAGCACGACCGCAATGTGGGCTTACCACCTTGGCTTAGCTTGGATTCGATTGAGACTTCGAGTGGTGATAGTATGCATAAGGTTTAAGAGATGGCACCAGGCTGTTGCGCACTACCATCATGTGGTTGAAAGAAGTAGACGGCATTACTGCTGCAATTTTCGGAGGTGTGATGATTACTTGGAAGAAAAAAAAAATGGCATTTTTGTTGAGCGATGCTGTAGATGTAGGAATTATGTGAGGAAATACGGTGTGCATAGAATTGGCTTCACTGCATTGCACCATAGAAAGTAATCATGACTTTCCCAGTCAACAGAGCAGAAAATGTCTGAAATTCAAAGAAGTGTAGTGCCCAGTTGAGCGAGCCCGTGCCAGGAAACGATGGATGCGTCGAGGGGGCTTTGCTTGCATCTGTCAGCGACCACTGCCGATACATCGAAAGATGATTGTCATCTGAATCTGATGATGTAGAGGAAATATGCTGCTCGGTGTAGTCGCTGCAACACTAGAAAGAAAACTAAAATTCCTTTATTTCATAAAACTTTGGCAAACAAAGTGCTTTTTTTTTGTACCCTCTGCTCGCACACAGAGGAGGATGGATTTCATCTTCTAGCTGCCACAATCAAGTTTTTTCTCAACCAAAATGCATAGTTTGAGCATATTTTTAATTTTTTCTGCACCATCTTTCCAAGCCAAGAAAAACTCGGCAAAATGAATCAAGCTAGCACCTCCAAACGGATTTTTCGGTGTGTACTGGCCCAGCTCATCTTTGGTAAGGAAAGGTTTAGGAGCTGGGCGTTACCCTTTCTTTCAAAATACCATTTTCAACTTGTCTTTTGAAGGTTGGGCTTAAGATTCGTTAACCAAGCCCTAGGTGTAGCTATTAGATGAATATATACAATATCCATCATAGAAAGTGTGCCAGATTACTATGAATGAAGAAGGTCCTCACATTTATCCACATTTTTCCAGCTGTAGCTTCATGAAGACATGTCCTGCTTACATATGACACACTCATGGGTTACAAATTACTGGATGTACCAGACATCATTGAGCTGCTTCAATTCTGCTTCAGTGATTCACATTTCACCATTAGCCAGTGGTATTACAGGAAGATTTGTAAAACTGCTATGAAGAAGGCCTATATTTTCATCATTGCTTATTGCTTGGCTGCAGAAGGCTCTTGCTGACTGTCTGCACGACAAACGTTTTCATTCCTTTTATCAGCGGCTGCATCTGCATTGGAAAAAGCAGGATGCTCTATGGCTTGTGTTTCTTCTTAAGGCACGTTTACAACGGAGAGGTGCGGCGCCGATTTCAGTCAACTGATTGTATGTGAAAGACGCCATCTGCGTCTTGTCATGCTCCCAGTCTTTCATCGGTCGATTCTCTAGTCACATAGCAGGCACACGTGGCTACACTGACCTGTCTTACACACAAAAAATTGAAGCAGGGGACCACCTGTTTCGCCCATTCCTCCGTTTGAGCCTACCTTCATTCACTACCATTGTGCTCTCTGCACATGTGGCAAAGCCCTTGTCTCAGCACATGCGACGATCGCCCTGCTGCATAGCAGACTGGGAGTGCAGCTAAACAAAAGGGAAGCAACAAAAAGCCATTGGAGGGCTGTGCAAAATGCTAGAGGGTCTTGTGAGGGCCTCTGTGATTACTCCCAGTATCTCCCCTGCGACGGTTCATTTGTTTCACATTTGGTTTGAGGAAGGCATGTTTTTCTTGGGCCATAAATTTTTCGGCAACTTTCTGATGACAAGTCAGTCGGCGTGTTTTACTGGTGTTTTTAAGGTCTGCCATCATATTACACAACGATGGCATCCTGTCTTTGGAAGCCTCGATAGAAGCAGCGTTGGCTTAGTGGGACCAGACAGTCCAGCAATATCATCAGCTGCTGACTTGTCGGTTGATCGTCTGCATTGGCATCGTGTCTTGTGTAAACGTGCCTTTAGTTTCGGTAGTATCAGCTATGCATATTTGTCCAGTCTGCCGTATTTTGACTATTTCTTACAGCTGTACGGTTAGCTGAAACATCATCCGTATATCAAAATTTGTGCGTGATCTGGCCGCAATAACAAGAATTTCAACCCAATCTGATTCAGGCCTTTTGCAAAACTATTGGGCTGTTGCAATTTACCGTATAAACCGGAATATTAGTTGAGATATTTTCAATAAAACAACGAGCTAAAGTCGCCCCTCGTCTAATATAGCGGTGTCTAGCCGACAGTGCACCACTGTCTGGCAATGTGTGGCTTGCATGTGCATGAGAAGCTGGACAAGGCCATATCCGCATTCAAAATCCAATAGCAGGTTGTTGTCTTTTCTCTCTTGTCTGTTTTTTTGTGTTCGTGATTTGCCTCCGATTTGTTCTAAGTTCTCGCTCCGCTTCACATTGTGTTTCATTTTTAGTGGTCTTTTTTTTTTGTTCACTGAATTTGAATAGCGGTACGAGAAGGCAGTACTCAGCTGCGTTTAAACTAGAGGTTGTTGAGTTCGCAGAAGCAAATGGTAATATGGCTGCTCAGCGCCGCTTTGGTGTATCAGAAAAAAGCGTCGCTATTGAAGGGTGCAGAAAGGGAAGCTACAGATGTGCAATCCTTGGAAAATGTCATTTCGTGGGCGAAGTGCATTTCATTCACAGCTGGAGGATACGCTAGGGAACTTTGTGTGGGAAGTTCATGTGTGCTCGCTGCCAGTGATTGTGGATACCATTTGCAAGAAAGCTGGGCTCACGAGAGAAAAGTTTCGTGCACCAAACTCTTGGGTGCGTCGATTCATGAGATGCAAAGGATTTTTTTTCGGTGGCGCACATCCATCTGTCAGAAGTTTCTAGACGAGTTCGAGGACAAGCCTATAAACTTTCAGCGCTTCGTGAACTGGCTTTGGGAGCAGAACAACTACATGATGGGGCAGATTGACAATGCCGATGAGACCCCCGTGTGGTTTGACATGCCTTCATCGACCATGATTATGCAGCGTGGCGCCAAGGATATGAAGCTGTTGTCCACTGGCAATGAGCACTCGCGCTTCACCGTCATGCTGGCATGCATGGCAGATGGTAGAAAGGTTCCGCCCTTCATCATTTTCAAACGTAAGACAATGCCGAAGGAAGTGTTCCCGCCTGGTGTTGTCGTTCGCGTCAACAAAAAGGGATATATAGACCAAGCCATGATGCTCGACTGGATACGAGTAGTCTGGAACCACCAGCCAGGTGCACTGCTGTGTCTTTGCAGCATACTGGTGTAAGATGCGTTTTGGGGCCACTTAACCGACGCTGTGAAGCGTGCACTGGGCAATGGAAAAATGGACCTTGCCATGATAACAGGTGGTATGAAGTCCACCCTCCAACCGATCGACGTCGTGCTAAACAAGCCGTTCAAGGACCGAGTGCGGCTGGAGTACCAAAAGTGGATGTCCGGCGACAACCCAAAGACACCGACGGGCCGCCTACAGAGGCTTCCGCTTGCGCCTGTTTGTGGTTGGGTGCTTTCCGCCTGGCGTTCCTTGCCAGATTCCATGGTGGAAAACGCTTTTAAGAAATGTTCCATCAGAAACTCGCTGTATGGCACGGAAGACAACGCACTGTGGGAGGCGGCCAGCGACAAACTCTCGTCTTCAGAAGACGGTGGTGATTCGTCTGACCAATAGGAACAGTTGCGATGGTGGTTGAGGGGAGCTATGGCGATCGGGGTGCAGTGCGCCCAATTTGCAAACAAATGTCATTCGTCAATGTTGGTTTTTTTTTTCTTTGTTTTTTTTCTTTTTCGGTAACCTGGACTTGGAGGGTCGACCTATATTCCCACTCGACCTATAGTCCGGGTTATACGGTAGTTTAAACGAATTGAAAGGTGTTGGTGTAAACGTACAATAATATCTCGGTGAGATGGATTGGCGAAATTCCCCAGTCGAAATCCACTTCCACTGTGTCCAATGGGCCGA